TCTAACTATTTAAATCATAGAAGTAAAGATATTTTTAGCACCAGTATCTAAGATGCCTGGCTACTAGTAAATATAATTACAACTTAACGGTCCGGAGCCAAAACCAAATCTAAATTCTCAACATTGCGCAAGCTCTTATATATGCCTCTGATGCGTCATCTCCGCGGTGAATAAAACAATGATTTTGATTGGCTAAAATAATAAAACGCTTCTTGATACTGATTTTAATTGAAACTTATAAGCGTCTGTAACTTGGATTAAATTTCCTTACAAACCATAAAACAAACAGATAAACAATTCAAATGATAAACACACTTGACAATTCTTCAAATATATATCGTTACAAAAGTATAATTACTGAATAACCTTAATTACCTATTGTTTATCCTGTTATCTTCACATAAAAATAAATTGTTTTACTGTACAAATGGCGAAATCATACTAAGGGGAGGTAATCAAATGAAGTATATGAAGTATAGGAAGCATTTTCGTCACAATATGTACTGCAAATATTTTTGCATATTATATGTAATCATTAAAATATGTGCAGTCATTTCTTATTGTAAAGTTTGACTTAAACTGTAAAGAAAAAAATTTCTAATTACCTCCCTTTATTTACATGAAATGTTAAATTCAGTAATACATTTATAAATAATGCTTTTGGAACTTACAATATTGATAAATCTTAATTTGAGCATCATATTTATGATTTAAAACCATAAAAAAATTGTGGTACAGGATCTTTAAATTTCAAATAAATAATTTGCCTTTGTTAAAGGCGTTATATTCATACAAATATCATTTATATTTTTTCTAAAGTAATAACAGTTATTTACAAATAAAATGACTTAAGGGGTTCTTAAATATTTCACAGCAGTCATCATATTTGTTCTCTTTCTTTGTATAATGTATGTTTATAGAAAACAGGTAAAATACACTTGTGATGATCACAGTATGAGTTTTTACTTTATATTTTTCCTAAAAGCTAGGAAAAATATGCATTTACAATGTCCTGGTGATGTAACGTCTAGTGTAATCTTTCCTCCGTGCCATTTCCGCGAATAAGGAGTAATGTTATTATATTGCATTTTCGTAGAGGCACATTCACCATTGTGATTGAAGATTCACACTAGTTCCTTTTCTGAAAAATAAAAAGAAATCAAAACGATTTTCATATTTTTCATGATAGCGACCTTCTGTAAGCCAGCGGACATAAAAATAGATCCATCGACCTTCCCTGAACCAGCTGACATTAAAGTTGATCAACCGCCCTTCCGTAAGTCTGCGGACATTAAATTAGATCCACCGACCTTCCGTAAGCCAGAGGACATGAAAGCAGACCCACCGACCTTAAGTAAGCCAGCGAACATTAAAGAAGATCCATCGACCTTCCGTACGCCAGCGAACATTAAAGTAGATCCATCGACCTTACGTACGCCAGCGAACATTAAAGTAGATCCATCGACCTTCCGTAAGCCAGCGGAAATTAAAGTTGATCTACAGACCTTCAGTAAGCCAGCAGACATTAAAGTAGGACCAACCGCAAAGTTTCGGATATTAAAGTAGATTCTTTTACCTTCCGTAAGACTTTGGGCAATAAAGCATTTCCGTTTACCTTCCGTAAGGCTTTGGGCAATAAATTTATCCCTATTACCTTCGTAAACCCTTTTTATTGATTATAAGACATAGTAGACGTCAACATATTAAACGCGCGCAGTTTAAAGCAATGACTTGTGAAAGATATAATACAATTTGTGGCTTTGTATATTCCTTTTTCTATTTTTCTTTGCCAAAAATATTCATATCATTCATATCTAATTATTTTAATTGTACTACTTCAATTTATAAGAGTGACATTGTATTTTTATCACCATCGAAACTAACAATGCGACATTTTGTCTTAAACTCAAATTATTTTTAACTCAGCTAACAGAATTGGCAAAATTTCTTTCTTTCAACTATTTTGGGTTCTATAAATATTATATGAATAAAAAACAAAAAAAAAACATAACACAAAACAAAACACACAAACAAACAAACAAGAATATACATTTTTGAACGCAAAGGGACTCGGGGAAAAAATTGAAACAGGCTCCAACAAATATAGCCATTGATTATAGGAATCGTAGAAGCTATCTTCATTATTATATCTAACCTTCTTTATTTCATATTTACTGTGTAGCGAATCATAAAAATCATAAATAAGTCTAAATTATATAACATTACCATTGTTTAGCAAGGAACATTTGTAAAGATTCCACTCATCATCACGTCTGATTTAAGACCGCTGAAACAAGAAATAAAACCGGAGGGGATTAACGATGGAATTATGCAGGACAGTGCACTCTTTTGAAATATCTAGCCCAACAACAAGATAAACAACAAATATTGTTTTACTTCTATGGCATGCCCATCCTTATGCATTACCTCAGCTTTGAAAAATAAAGTACTGTAAAGTTCATTGAAAGGTATGTCCATTGGTTCAAACCCCAGACTTTTTTTCTCATTACATTATTTTTGAAACACTTCACAATAATTTATGGGGAAACATTTCTTATAGGGATGATATAGATTATTCAAAGGTTCCACATTTCTGAAAAAGAGCCCAAAGGTAATACCCAAGCTTTAATTCAGAAAATGTGACCATAACTCATTTACTATACGGTATTCTTTTTTGTTTTTAAACTTTGCATGCAGTGTCTTTTAAGGCATATATGTGACCTTTGTTGTTTTTTTTCAGCTCCTTTTAGTGCCCATTAGGTTGGTCATACCTTATAAAGTTTGGAAGAATATAAAATGTAAAGATGCGCTGCCTGTGTGTCCAATTGAACTTAAATGCTCCATAAAGAGCTAACATATTTATAATAATAATTATCTAAATGGCAACCCTATGCATTGTCTCGTATTTTGAACAACGGAAAAAAGGCATTTTACATCCTAACTTTGCGGAAATAAGAAAAATAAAACAAAAGTATATTCAGTGTTGGAAATTGTTTGCTGTCCAATAGGATAACAGTGTTTTAAATTAACATATTTGCTTGAGTAAATCGGCTAACTATTTATTAGTCTAGTAAATAAATTTATAAAAAACAAAGACCTAATTGGCTGCGCTGTTCTTGACCAATTTAATTTTGTAAATGCTTACTAAAAGCATTAACCCATACTTAAGATTCAATTAACTTTAACATATACACTGCATAAATAAAATGACTATGTGCATAATTAATATTTTTTTAAACATATAACTATACCTTTGTTAGCGCTGGGTAGGGTCGGCTTTTTGAGGGTGTGGATTCAAGATCAAGTGCTCACGTAAATTTTACAAGTGTTCTTAATTATCTATATTTAATAAATGGTTTAATTAAATTCTAAAATCTTTTTCACAATTAAGATCCAAACAAATTATGGAAAAAAAAATAAAAAAGTGCAATTCTTCAGTATATATGTTAAAATTCATACACTCATTCATTTTAACATTTTGGAATGTTATTAACTTAAAATGAATATAATTTATTATTTCAAATAAATAATAAGAATATCATGAAACAATTACTATAAAATCTCTTAACTGCGACATATTTTCATATCTCTATCCATTAAGTTTCGTAAAAATATTTCCGATAATATTTTCTAACCTTTAAATCATTTTAATTAATATAAACAACGGTCAAATAGATCTGCTTAAATACTAAATGACCAAGCATTAAAGTTAAGTTTCATCAATCGCCATAACGTATGTATTTTAAGTTTTCGTTTTCATTTTTATTTATTTATCTATATTTTTTCAAGTCTTGAAGTGATTTCTTCATTTTATTTTACAATGTTTTTCCTTGTTTATTCTTTACTTGGTTTCCTTGTTTTGAACTCAAGCCGCCGCCTGTAGTCTTGTATCACATGAAAAGTTTGTGATCTCCGAATTTTTTCTCGAACACATTCATATTCTGTCTCCGGATTAATGTGGTACATAATTACTGTAACCGACTGCGGCAGATTTTCCAACACGGTAATAAAGTTTTGTAAACTCCCTGCAGACATTTCTAACTTCTCCAACATCACACGTTCAATATTCAACATGTCACGTGACAGTAACAATGAACTTTTATCTAGATTGATTCCCCACAACGTAACATTACCTAATGACAGTGTTGATATATTTAATTGTAGCCTGCAAGGTAACTGCATCAAGACTAACTTTGATAGAGTTGAATGTTGATACAAGTTCAAGTTCAAGCTCTTACAATCATTGCGGCCATGTTCTTTACAGTCTAACATCACCAATGTTAACTCTTTTATTGACTTTTGACCGGAGATAAAATTTAAAATTGTTTCCAGTATTTTGTAAGATAACGTGAACCAGTCAATATATAAATATTGCAAGTTTTGTAATAGCGCCAAATTTTCACTAAGATTTCCTTCATCATTTGTCCATGTACCCCACCGCAAAGTAACGTTTTGTAAACTTGGAAGCAAAATCTGACTTATTTCAGCCTCCTTCCTGTCAGCATTATAGTAAAGTTTCTGTATATAACTGAGATCTGTGAGAGAGAATAAATCTATAATTTCACGTAAACTGCGGGAAGTACCTGTGGCGTCTATATAAAGTGAGTTTATGTTGGTTTTATTTTGTTTTAACAAACGTTGTAACTGCTTACTGTGCATGTTGTTCTTGACAATGAAGAAATCTTGTAAACATATTTGAATATTTTCACTTCCAGGCATTTCTTGTAAACACGACATGAACATTTTCTGTATGTTATACAATGGATTATCTGGCAAGTACTCGTAACCTGTCCTATTTCTATAGCTGCGTGTTTTCTTGTCTTCATTTATGACAGACATAAAATCATTTGATATTTCACACATCCGGTCAGCATTCATTTTACTTAGAAATTCACAAATGTTTGACATGTCTAAAATATCTTGAATACTTCTACATTTTTTTAGAACACTGTGATGACTTATATGAATAGCGGCAAAGAATTCTTGAACTGTTTTGTGAGAAAACGAGACTTTGATAATTTCTTTGAATAAAGTTTTACTTCTACTTTCTGACAGTATTCCTGAGAGAAGACTTAATTTAATGTCGTCTGCTTTGAGATATGTTTCAGCAACCATTCTGTCAAATACAAGCGTGTTTTCTCTTGTTTCGTTATATAACGTTTGGTAAGCTAGTTCCGCTAATGATGTTATAAGACTGTAAAACTTTTTACAAAATTCATGACCTTTGAAATATTCTGGAATTTCACTGGCAGAGGATTCACGAGATGGTTGAACTTCCGGGTGTTTCTTTGACGTTCGCGATAATAGAAATTCAATGATATTGGTGTAAATTTCATGAGTTGAATTTCCTATAGGAATGTTGTTACACCATAGGCAAACTATATACAAGAGGAGAAGTGGAATCACTTGCATGTGCTTCAGGCGACGGTCACGTATCACTTTATCAAAGTCCTGTCTTTTACTCGTCAGTGCTCTATCGTTATGGACACCGGTCATTTTCCTTATAGCATTTTCTTCAAGTTGCCGTGTAGAATCTGCATTTAATTGAAGCAATTCTACTTTTTTGTTTATTTGACTCGTTTTGAGATTTGAAACTCCAAGCTTCCACGGTCGGGATGTCGTTAGGATAACACAATTATCACTTACGTACCGATGTGGGATGTTTTCTGTTACTTCGCTACAGCTATTATCAGGGTGAGTCCATTCATCAAGACCGTCCAATATAATTAAACATTTTTCTCTACGTAAAACTTCATATAATGTTCCAGAGGAAGGAAGTTTCTTAGTAATTTGCTGTTCAATCATATCGTCGATCTTACAAAAAGAGGTACAGTCTCTTAATAAAACCAAAAATAAGAACTTAAAATCAAATAACGTTTTTAACTCGTCATCTTTAAAACATGCGTAGTTTTCATCGTGACAATGAGCTTGACACCATGTGATTGCCAGATATTTTGAGAAAGCAGTTTTTCCAAAGCCTGCATCAGCTGATAGATATATTTCTTGTTTATCTCCACTTCCGGTTGAAAACATGTCTTTCAAAGACTTGATCGGTGTCCTTTCCTCTTCATGCCAAGTTAGGGACTTCTGTTTTACGGCGACTGTATCTGGCATCACATAGAACCCAGCGAGAGGTGTCTCTTTTTCTTCAAGAAGCGGTGAGAGTGGTATTGAACTACATCTTTTTCTGTAAAATTTAATCAGGTCGCCTTGAAGTTCTGAAAAGAGATATCTATATAATACATGAAATGTTGAGGTGTTTACTAACTTGAATTTTGCATAGTTAGACAATCAGCTAATGCATACGGCAAATGAGAAGTAGATATGTAACACTACATTCAGAGGCTATGTTTAACAATGCATACTTAAATCTAAACTTTGTTTTAATTATTGAATAAATTCATATACAAAAAAAAGTTTATTTCCATCGTTATAATAAATACATTGTATGCTTGAAAATAAACATTTTCGTTCTTCATTCTGAACCCAAAGAATTAGTGGGGGCAGGGTGTGGACAAGCTAAAGAAGAAAATATTTCTTCTATAGTTCATTGCATGAACAAACACTAAGAACGATAAATGTTTAAAATGTTTGAACCGTTTTAAAATGATAAATTTTACATTAAAAAATATGTAAACAAATTGTTATCACGGGGAAATAAGAAGGGGAAAATAATTACTTGACACAGGAAGTAATTCCTCCTGATTTCTCCATCATTATAGTTTTGCCTAATCGGAATTCCTCCACAATTATTCATAATTCAGACTGACTGTTTGATTTTATTAACCTGTCGATTACGTACTTATAATGCGGTCAATGCACACAATATTAATTCTTTGGTAGATTTCCGTGAGGTGTTCCCTATAAGATGTGTTTAAATTACTTGTTTCAGTAACCGGGACCCTTGCGGCTCTACCAACTGAGCTATCCGGCCGCTTACACATTTGCCAACCTTATTATTGAACAATTGAGAAGCGTGACATACTCCCCTGCTATATTTGAAATTTCACAGAGTAACAGAGCAATGTAAATTAAACTCTGAGATATATCCCGTCACGGCCCATCGTTGGGCGCCAAATGTCACAGGATGAGAAAATTGTGCAGCCTGACCGGGACTCGAACCTGTCAACCTTGGAAAACAGTACCGCGGCTCTACCGACTGAGCTATCCGGCTGCTTACACATCTTCTCCACTAAATGGTGACCAGTTTTGAACCGTGACAAAAGTATATCTACCAATTGGTTTTAGATGTAAAACACAGAGTGTAATTTTTGATAATGTAAAACAGATGTAAATATTTGACATCCAAAAAAGTATGTCTACACTTTTGATTGAAAATGTCTGACAACCATGTTAAATTCAAATTATAAACATATTCGACTCTATGTCAACAGATTAGCATTTTGTACTTTCGGTTTCTTCAAGCATAATAATAAGTATATTAAAAATGTACTATATACTTTTATATCTGTGAATTTACTTAATTTCGGTTTACTTATACTTGATATATTGGAAAAAAAACCATAGTCATCATCACCCAGCATTGGATTACTATTAAGATGGTTAGTTCCTTGGCGTAGGTTTGAACGAAATACCATATAGATGTACGTACTATTGTTTCCGATGTTCTTATCCGAAATTCGGCGGAAAGGGCAGAGAAAAAGTGATTTAGTTGGGTTATTGAATATTTGCATACTTTGAAACACTTGACGATACCACATTGTTTATTATCATATTATCATAAATAAGTTTTGACATGAAAGAACACATTACCTTAACCAAGTTAGATCTGTACTAAACTGAACACCCCGAGGTTGTCATATGTTTCATCATATGTCAGTAAGTTATACATTTGGCATACGGAAAATCTAGCTTTTACAAGCCCCACCCCTTCTCGTACTCAAGCCACCTTCTTCTTCTCAAGCATTAATCAGACTTTTACTTCCTTTTCAGAAAACAAACGCGTGTCGATAACAGATAAGATTTTTAAATAAAACTCTTATAATGAACAAGCTAAATTAAATTGCAGTATATTGAATATTTTACTAAAACTGAAAAAAAAATGAATTGTCGTCTGCTATCACTTTCGGTAGAAAAATAAAAAATTGAAATAATTTAAAATTTCAATAAATAAATATCTTACCATGGTTACCACTGGAATTGAATAATTTGAATGTAAAGCAGAAAAAGAAAAAAAAAACAATTTAAAATGTGCCATCACTGGTGAATTTGCGCGGACTACTGAAACAAACATATCTTCAGTATAAACAGAAATTGATTATTTTTTGACAGTGCCAACCAAGGAAGGATTAATATCATTACTATTATTATTATTATTATTATTATTATTATTATTATTATTATTATTATTATTATTATTAAACAGTCCAGTCTTTGAAAGTGACAAAATATTGATCCGCAAACATGCAAGTTATAACAATTAATGGGCATTAATGTGCCTCCACCTTCTCTCTTACTCTCTTCTCTCCGATTGGTTTTTCATTCAATGTCATATTGGTATCTTTCCAGCTTTACTGTTAAAGGAAGGTGTCCATTGGTTTCACGCACAAGCGGATACCTGAATAGAACCACCCACCGACGTTCCATTAAATGCTACTACACATGAAAGAATAAAAAATTCGAACCCATAGTTGTGAGGATCAAATGTATGAAAGTCAACGACCTTTAATCAGTCGACCACAGGTTCCACGAAATAATAACACATTCATGTCTAAATTTATGCAAAGAAATATTCTCGAAGCACATTATTTCCTAAATACTTTTAATTTAGTTCAATTATGTTTCAACTTTCCTACAATTTTTGTAATATTTGGTGACTTTGCGCCTCGTTTGTACAATACTTAAACAGTTATTTTGTTCTGCGTCAAATATTTATCTTAAAAAAATATTAATATATCACACTTCCTCTATTGACTCATGCATTTCTTTGTTTTTATTATAGTCTATGCAACATTTTACAAATGTTCTCAAATTAAAATATGTTATAGACCCTAAATTTTAATGTGGTAAAAGTTTGGAAAAGAATTAGAAAACGACTCTTAATTAACTTTTAAAGACATATCTTATCATTTAACAGTTATATAAAAGGAACAAATCACATTCAAAAGAAAGGTTTCCCCTCTAGCGACCTGGCAGCCAGAAATTTTAATGAAATAGAAATGTTATAAATACATGTATGATAAAAACGGGACTTTATGAAGTTCTTAAGACTATTTTTGATATTTAAAAGGTATACAAAAAGAAAAAAAATCCTTTTCAAAGAACTTTTTATTTTATCATTTTTGTGAAGTTTGCGCCTGGCGGCCAAAATTTGTAATGTTACAAAAATGTTATTTAAACAATAAAACGGCTTTTTATGAAGTTCTTAAGACAATTCTTAGTATCTAAAGGATGTGTATAAAAGAAAAAAATCACTTTCAGAATTTTTTTTATTTTATCATTTTTTTTTTGTGAAGTTGGCGGGCTGGCGGCCTAGAATTTCAATGTTGTAAAGGTTTGGAGAAGAATTGAAAAAAGACTATCAATTAATTTATCTTATCATTAAACAGTTGTATAAAAGGAAAAAATCACATTCAGAAAGATTTTTTTTTCTCTAGAGACCTGGCAGCAAGAAATTTTAATGTTGTAAAAATGTTATAAATATGATAAAACGGGACTTATGTATGTATATAAAAAAGACAAAAAATCACTTTCAAAGAACCTTTTATTTTATCATTTTTTGTGAAGTTGGCGGCCTGGCGGCAGAAATTCTTATTATTTAAAGGATATGTAAAAATCACTTTGAGAAAACTTTTTATTTTATAATTTTTTGTGAAGTCCGCGGCCCAGCGGCCTAAAATTATAATGTTGCAAAAGTTTGGAAAGTAATTGAAAAACGACTCTCCATGTTGTCATTTTAACGGTATTATTTGTTTAAGTTCAATACGTGATCTTGAAATTTTTAAATATTGATTTGTATAAACATTTGTATATGTTGTATTTTGCGAGTAAATATATAAAGTTGTTAAATTTATTATCATGAAACACATGTTTGTCAATGGATTGTCTTCATACTTGGTCTGTGGTCACAACAACCCTTTACAAAATTTGTCTTAAGAGAATTTTTCTGTAGGAAAACCCAGATTATCAAGATTCTATTCTATTTAACAGATCTATAATCTGAAATGTACCTATCAATTACAGTTAAATCTGGAAGAGTACCAGTTCTTGCATTGAGATCCCCAAGCATGCATACAGAACAATTTCTAGTTTGAAAGTCAATAATATCTGCTTTAATCATTGAATATCAATCAATGTTTGAATAGGTCTTCAGGAGGGATATAAATTGCTCCAAAGATATGTTTCATATTTATGACACTCTCATCAATTCGAAACCATATACAATTTTCAAAAGAATTATCAAAGAACTTAACTTTATCAAAAATGTCTTTTTGTAATAGAACTCTAATACCTCCAGAATTTTTTAACAAAATGTCCTACTTCACCCATAAAATTATGTTGCTTTTTTCAGTACAATACTGTCATACACATCTAACTTAATTTCTAACAAACAAATAACATCATAGTCCTGTATGAATTCTTCAAATTCTGGAAAATTAAGTTAAGAACAAAGTCCACAAATATTTAAAGCAACACATTTTTACTTATGGATATTAATTGAACCATAGGAATGGTCAAAAGTATCTGTCACTATAAAATGCTTCTTAACAGTTTTTCTCAATTGAATTATCATCATCCTCCTCCTATTCAAGTGACTCTAGTCCCAACTACTTCAGGTCAATGTCAATACCCAATGCATGAAAATCATCGGGGGAAGTAATTGAGAGCTGTCGTTTTTTCTTTGTACAAATGTTTACGCCATCACGAGAATACACATTAGAAACACTAGGAGTGTCCTTCAACACTGATTTCATTCTCACCCTAAGTTGCGTTGAGTCATCCGAAATAAAAAATGTGTTTGTATTCCTCAAGAGAAGCAAGATTTTCTTCTTGAAGAATGTGATACCTTGAGACGAAACGAACTATAACTTGTCTGGCTTGGCCGATGGATTTGAACTTTCCTACTCTATGACATGCACTGATGTGTCTTTCATTTAACATGATACTCTTAGATGAACCATTACTAGTAACAGTATTAGACTGGCTATCTCCATTCACCACTGGCATCCCATTGTATTTAAATGTTGCAAAAGCATAGTATCATCAACTCAAAAGGCACAATTGCAGACGAAAACTCACTTAAGTTCGACGCAGGCGTGAATGTTGAAAATTAAATAAATGATACAAATAAAACCTTTTTTTCTATTATATAATTTCAATTTAATACAGAAGTAAACTATTGTATTCATGAATACATTTTCCCATATTTGAGGACTAATCAATACGATTAACACCCTTTTAAATCATTTTATTATGATGTTATTATCTCCGATTAGTACACTTGCAAATTTTCGGCCCTTTCCGTCAAACTTCGGGATAAGAATCTCGAACACAGTTAGTAAGAATACAAACACAAAACGGGTAATCTAAGCTAAGAAACTAAGTATGTTAACAAATAATAATTTAATGCTGGGAGATGCTAGCTAATTGTATTACAGTATATCGAGAACTCCATCTAAATTATGTTCACTTAAAGCTATATGCTTGAGTCACTAATATATTTTGTAAATATATATGACGATGATAATATGAAATTGATAACCGTCACTTAAACGATATGTACGGATATATAAACGATTAAAGGTCATTTTAAAGACAACTCCTATCTTTTAATAAAAGTAATAATATTAAAAAAAGCTTCTTTAAGTCCTGTTAATCTGAACGCGTCATTCAATTGTAAGTATTTGAAAGCTTTTAACTGAGGTTCCTGGTACAAGGAAACTTGATTGCTTTTATTTATATACCCGTTCAAATAAAAACGGGTCATATCGTGGAATCCCTTCTGGTAAGTGAGAGAGCATTGGCGTCCAGTTTTGTCCGAGACACGGTTATTTTCTTCATTCATAAAGGGATTGTAGTATTATCTGATTCTAAACAAAACTATACGTAGTTTATCACGCATGAATCAGTAATGTAGACCAAAATCCCTACATAAATTAAGAGATTTATAGACAATTTCTGTTAAGAATTAAAATACCAAATGATGTGCGCAAAATTAGGTTGGTCAAAGAAGCAAATATATACCATTTTGAAAATGTGTGGATTCAATATTTAGTTTTAAATTTGAGACTATGTTTCAGCATCATAATCAAAGTTTAAAGTAAAATTCAATGCCCATGTGTGTTAGACGTAGATACCTGAATCTGAATAAACATTAAAACAGACATGTACAATATATATAAAAAAAATATGGCATATGTGAGTGAGTTAAAAATAAGTACAATATTTAAACCTACATGAACAATAATGCAGGCGAGAAATAGTTTAATAAATTCTACTTCGGTCATTTGTACGTTTGTTATCACTCCATATTCAAACAAATCGGTAGATCATTATAATATCTATACTAATAAATTTACAATTTCAAAATTAATAATTGTATTTTTAAAACTACAAATCAAATCAAACAAAATTAAACTGTTTTTTATTAATCTGAGCTGAAAATACTCGCGATGACTGTTCCATACACATGGTCAAAATTGGAATATTTGCTGTTATATAAATATTTTAGAATACATGTTTGCAAAGGCAATACGTTCATAAAATACTTTCATCAAAAGAAATATGATATAACATCTTAATTCTGTAAGTTTTTCAAAAGGTTTAAATTCTTATTTGAATTTTTTTAAGGAATCAGTACTACTAACAACGATTATAAGATATGTCCATTCAGCACGTATTATTAGTTCACACCTATGATGTTACCAATTTTTAACTTCGTGCAATTGAAATCTACCCATATGTTTTCATTAAGGTCATCCTTATTGTCAACATCAAGATACATGTATCTGAATAAGCAATGTCATAAATATTCAATATTTGAATAATTTCTTATATCAACAATATAACAGTATGCTTACAATTAGTCTTTAAGTCTTCAATAGTTTCTATAAATCTATTGTCTGCTTTCAAAAGCTCTTAATCAACTACGTCTGCCTAAATCAAGATTAAAACATATTTTTATCAAGCATGCTTACCTTGCATATTTGAAGACGTGTGTTGTGCTGGCAGTCGTTCTTCTATTTTATCTATTTTAGATTTAACAGTATTTAAGTCCTCAGTAGTATTTTTATGACCAGCTTTTTGAATTTCTATGTCAGCTTCTAATGCTTTATCGTGTTTTTCCCATTTTTCAATTTCATCTGTTACCCTCTGTTCTGTTTTTGGATCAAGAGGGCTGTATTCAAAGTCAGTTATCGTCTGTTTAAAGTCTTTGATTGGATACACCTTATCAATTCTAAGGATAATCTGCAAAGGGCACAGGCGTGGTAATTATGTCAGTTATGGTTAGCTTACGTTTGTCAAGAAGGAAATGTATGCATTTCATATTATTAATATTTTTATCACGAGCAAAGTACAACATACATATACTGGCATTTGTTATTTGGAGTTCTAACTTGATGATATAGGAAGAGTAAGGAAATTATTTTATGATGTGAATGAATTGCCTTCTTTTACTATATTATTTATTACTAATTGTTACCAAAAGTAATCAAGCACTGGAAAATGCTTAAATGAACGGAAAAAATGATTTAATAAATAACAAATAAACAATAAATGAAGAAAATGAATTTGATGAACCTATTATATCGTCATTCCACATTGGATATACATATCTCATTAAATCAAACATACTAAATTTACAGTGTTTGGCTGATTTATTTTAGTGACAAGTGTTTCCTGCTCTCTGAAGATATACTATGCTAAAATCTGATATTAGAAAATAGTGATAATTACTATACAACCCCTTTGCAAATGAATAGTGTATTCATTTTGTTATTAAACATATTAAGTCAGAATTTCATAGATTTTATAACTTTCTGTGATTAAATTATTTTACTCAAGGACGAGCATAGTATATATTTAACATGACAGAACAATTCACTTGCAGATTTGTGCGAATAAGCATATCAAATTTCCCTTTTGAAACAAACCATTATCAACATTTGGGATAAAAATTAACTTTTGGAAGCTGGTTAAACAGTATCATGAAACCTTGGTAGATTGATAGCTTGGATCTATGTTGGAGGCAAAATCTGTATTGCTTCTCTTTTAATTAAGGAAAGACATGCACGCTCGAATAAATCTTACATTGAGTTTTCAAATCAAACATATACCTGTTCGATTTCTTTCCACTTGGTAATAAAATCGTTATATTGTATCCCTGTAGTGGTTGATATATGACAAAACTGAAGATATAAAATCGGTCTTGCTAAAAACATGTCTTTCACAGAAAAAAATCAATTGATTTCTATCTCTATCAATACTTTTCAATTTTACAAAATCTCGTTTAAAATACTAGAATAATGAAACAAATCGTCTTGACAGAATAACTAATATTAGAACCTTTTGAGTATTTCCACGGTTTAACGAGTGTGATTTTTATCTGAACAAATATTTAAACATATAAAGTAAACTTGTCTGCTGCATTGGTTCATTAAAAATAAAACATAAGCCTATTCAAAATCTTACTTCGTTCCGGTAATTCTTCAGTCTACAAATGTCTGCTTCGATAGAAGTATCACTTTGTCCTGATGAAATGTTCAAATTAAACATTTTATTTAACTTGAAACATTTAAGGTTTCTCATGAGGCAAATGATAAGCGTGATGTCCAAATCTGACGTTGAAATAGTGCCACTTGATGGATACAATAAATCATATTGCACCTGTGTTAGTATCCCACGTCCCTTTAAAAGTTTGATGGTGGTCTTTTCGTTTGCAAGACATCCGCTGAGAGTAATAGATTGAGCTGAAAGTTCCTGATCTACATAATTTCTTAAAACTGCAAGTCCACCATCAACAATTAACATTTGTAGACGGGATAGGAAGATACGATTGTCTGATGCCTGTGCTGAAGATGATGTTCCGGGTTGAGCAGCAGCCATGACTAGACATTACATTTCCCAGCAGTTTGTTAAAATGATAACTGACCTGTAAAATACAATGTGCCATTTATGTTGAATTAATGAAGGATTGATATCGAACAAATGCACGTTTTATGAAGAAGTATTAGGAAATCCATACAATACAATTAAATATCGTTTTTAATATAATATTATATCAGTAAGTATTTCATTAAACTTTAAGATTTCAATTTGTGTCTCACCTGAAACGAAATATAAGGCAAGGCAAACCTGAATTTGAGATGTCATGTACAATCAAATAAGTAAACTTAACTGTAGACTAAATGGAAACATGGATCGTCATATGTGGTCACACTGTGCAGATTTGCAAATAGTATGCACGTTTCAACATTCAAGATTTACTTTTGTCAATTAATTTAAAAGAATAACCAAACTATATTTTTGCAAAAGGTACCCTTTCTTATTTCGCAATAGAACCTGATACAAAATGTTGTGACAACAATGTTCTATTGTTTACAGCTATATCTCAAGAATATTTTATAAATATCATAAATGATGAACTGTTATAAGTTTTTTTAATCTTATGATAGATATTGGGATAATTTTAACATAGAATTATTGTTTTTTTGACACAGATTCATATTGCGCGTAAACAAAATAAAATGATGCTAATAAAAGATTATGCTGCTTTTTCAGTATGGAATACACAAATTACCGATTTATTCGTACTAACTAAAAGGTAGATAAAAAATGTTTTATCATACTGATAATTTGCAAGAAAATGTAAACTACAGAGAAATAGCAAGGTGTGCGATCAGGTTGTATTAGTTTAGATTATCATTTGGTCACCGCCAAAGGCCCTCGTCAATTATCTGAATTAATTTGCAATGTTTTTGTTTTGTCTTTCGATATGTAAATAATAACCATAATATGCCATATTCGGGCGCATTTTTGTCAATCCATATGGTTCTTTACTTTTAAATGTCTTTTTTTAACCGTTACGCTGGCAGGATGTTTTAATGCGGCAATACATTAATGAAAATATACAGTAGCACCGAAATATATATTTGTTTGCAAGAATATCAAATGGTAGGATACTATCTTATCGCACAACTTCTGAATGCTCCCAATCGAATCATATTTTGTAGAAAATTCGTCGACTCGAAGGTAAAATACAATTTTGGAGTAGTGGAGTATAAAAAATAATGTGGCTCATTTAAGAATAAATATAGTCCATGAGATAAATGTTTTTCTCTAATACTCCCGCTCATCTGTCAATATTTGGGTCCGAGTGAGAGCATCTCTGAAATCGAGCCTGAGTTGGAGCATTTTCCTTTTTTTATAAAAAAAAAAAGTGAAAAACAAGACTTTTGAATAGAAATATTTGAAAACAATCTAGCAAAATGTGTAAACATGACTCGGTTTACTTCTGGTAAGTTAAAAATATTTTTTCAAGAAGGTTTAAAAACTTATTTCTTATAGATTGTGGGGAAAGTCATGGGAACATTCAGAGAGAAAAAAACAGCTATCCCGTTTTCAGGCCTAGACCAGGCAATACATCTATATACCTTTTTACAGACTATAGCCATTATTTTGTTCGCTATATTTTTATGCCGCCACAAAGTGGGGAGCATATTTCGTTGCACTTGTCCGTCCGTCCGTCCGTACGTCTGTCTGTCCATACGTCCCGAAATCTTGTGAACACAACTCCTCTTAAACCGGATGGCAGATTTTGCTTAAACTTTAAGAGATGAACAACCTTAATGTGTAGATGTTAGTAAAGGAAGGAATTTTTGCTGCGACCAATTTTAACAGAATTATGGCCCTTTGTTGATTTTTTCACTATATACTATGTAAAAATTTTGTGAACGCAACTCCTCTTAAACCGGATATCAGATTTTGCTTAAACTTCCAGGGATAAACAACCTTAATGTGTAGATGGTAGTAAAGGTATAATTTTTGCTGCGACCAAATTTAACAGAATTGTGGCCCTTTGTTGATTTTTTTCACTATATACCATATAGAAATTTTGTGAACGCAACTCCTCTTAAACCGGATAGCAGATTTTTCTTAAACTTGCAGGGATGTACAACCTTTATGTGTAAATGGAAGTAAAGGAAGGAATTTTTGCTGCGACCAAATCTAACAGAATTATGGCCCTTTGTTGATTTTTTCACTATATACCATATATATGTTCTCAGTGGGGGCATCCGTGTCCTTTGGACACAGTTCTAGTTTTTGTAACTGTTACTATTTCTTATAATAAAATTGTATTTAACCTTCGAGTCGACGGATTTTCTGTAAAAAATGGTCCGAGTGGGAGCATTCAGAAGGTGCGCGATGACGTTGTATCTTACCATTGATATCGGCATAAGAATATGAACTTAGATAAAAAGTTTTCGTCTAAAGGAATCGAAAAAAAAGTTGATGGGTTAAGTGTGATCCCTCAAAAGTACTGATTACAACAATATTACATAAAAATTGTAGACTTGATAAGATTTAGTCTGTACATGAGGGATAATGAAAAAGTGCAACATCTCTCACGTCGCTACCTCTTGAATCTATACAAATACCGAACATATATTTGTTTTATAATTGTTTAACTGCACTTGTCACTTTGATGTAATAAGGATACAGCAAAATATGGTGTATAATCATTTTTCAGACACAGTTAATCTGACATGGAATTATAAAACAAGGGTCTGTGAAGAAGATCACGAAATCAAAAAAATCCCTTTGTATCTGTCCATGGGTATTAGGTATTGCTCTAAATGTTAATGAACTTAAGTTGTTCTTTCAAGTTGATGTGTTGTTTTAAATTCACGGGGGGAGGATAGGACACTTAAACCAAATAAATTTGAAAACATATTAATATATAGAGGATATTCAAGTTTTTTTCATCTATAAATACTGTATAAGTTTTCATCAAATGGTATGAAAATAAATATTTCATGATTGACTACGATTAAAATATGATAATTTTCATACCACAAGATCAAAGGCCATTTTTCAGAAAAAAATAGAATATATACAGTGTATAACAGTCACAACTTCCTGGTAAAATACTTTGTAATATAATTAAAGAATAACAGATATTATTTGGCATCATTGTTTAATGAGTTAACATGACTTGTCACTGAAAAGTGACTTATGCCCCAAAAGTAAGCTTTGACATAACATCTGCAATATATGTCTATATATTGGAAATACACACCCGATTTCTTTAAATTTAAGCGGAAAATTCCCGCTAAAAATCAAGACACTATACATATCAAGGCATGGTGACGAACAATCCTGTGAAGATTAACTGAAATCCCCCAGCGGTTTTGGAGTTGTAGAGCGGAAAAGCTTACTTAACTTAAAAAATAGACCACTAAGAGACATAAATGTGCCACCCCTCCCCCCTCCAAAATAAAACAACAAAAAAAAACCCAAAAACCAAATAGCAGAATATTAAAAGAGAGAGTGCACAACTAGGCATGGTGGCACATATTCCTGTGAAAAGTCACTGAAATCCCCCAGCAGTTTTGGAGATGAAACGCAGACAAGCTTATTTTACTAAATAAATGACCACTAAGGGGCCATAACTGTGCAAAAAAATCAACCGGAAAATTAAGAAACTATGCAAAACAAAGCATGGTGACAAACAATCCTATGAAGTTCACTGAAATCTCTCCAGCGGTTTGTTTTAGATAAAGCTTGGACAAGTTTATTTTTCTAAAAAAACTGACCATAAAGGGGCCATAACTGTTCCAAAAAATTCAAGCCAAAAATCACGATACAATGCACAACTATGCATAGTGAAAAACTGTCCTGTGAGGTTTCACTGAAATTCCACCAACTGTTTTGAAGATTAAGCGCGGACAAGCGTATCGTACGGACGGTAGGAAAGACGGATAGTGCGATTACTATATGCCACCCTACGGGGCCATAAAAATCAGTAATTGCCTTGTTTCACAGACGTTGAAACTCAATAACAGATCATCTTCCTTGGATCAGACTTCCATTTACTAAATTCGCATATATCATTTGTATTGATAACAGAACCAATGTAGTATGTTTTAAATACATATTTTTCTATTATATTGGTAGCAGAGCTTATCACAAACTAAAACATTGGATATGTTATCACAACAAGACTTATTTAATAATTAAATAAATTATTCTTATATGCATTAAACATGCATTTATGATAATGTTGCAAAATATATTACTCTCACACTATTTGCACAGTACAACATTTTCAATTATAAATTGTTCATAAGAAATAAATTCCTTGATTTACTTGCACAAAGATATTGATAGAAGGGCAGTAAGTATTTGAAAACATTTTACCAAATAATGGTAAATTGCAGTTGTTTTGGGACGTCGAATAGGAATGCTATTGTTAAATTCAGTATTAGGAGGAACTCAATTGCTTACTTAAGGTAAGTTTATCTATAATTCACTCTGTTAAATATAAAAGTGATGAAGTATAGTTGGTATGATAAAAATTGTGTTAAAAGGAAATATATATGACATCAGAAGTCACTTCTGTCAACGGTTTTCACAATTTTGTTATAACCAGTCATCCCAAACTGAAAATAAATGGTACATTCTGGACGACTTTTATTGAAATATTCGTTGTGCTTTTATTAAGACTGTAGAAAGAAAAAAATCAAATATGTGTGACCAAGGATATCTTTATTTAATCGGCGACAATACGATACACACACCTGAAAGATAAAATGGGTATTTACAAAGAGGGAACTCCCCTTTAAACTTTAAATTGCACACAATCAATTCAAATAATTTTGTTACCGGTTTATATTTTGACCTGAAAGTTATTTGCTTCCTGTACTGATTTATTATCTATGTATTGAAATCGGATGTCTTATTAACCCATAACAAGACCCGAAGGATTGTTTATACATGTATATATTTAATACACTTGTTGCAACCACAGTATATTACTCTCACAACATTTGATCATTGAAACAGGTCTTACAAAGAGCACCACTAATTCGAATTGAATCTGATTATAAATTCAAAAAAACACAGTTTGCTCTATATCGTTTTTAACATTTG